ACCACTCCACCATTCATGCAAATAGGACCCCAGCTGTATCTTTATTCCCAGGCAAATGGAAATGCTTTGTAGATAGTTGGGCTCTGAGGGCCTGGGAATGTGAAGAGGCCTAGAGATGAACGTTTGGGGGTCATCTGTATAAAGTGATAATGGAGCTCTGAGAGTGAAGGAGCCTGCCACAGGAGATAATATAAAGAACAGGATAAGGGATAGGTGCTTATACCTACTTTTAAGGCATTGCAACCATCAAAGGATACAGAGAGGCAGCCCTCAGAAAGGCAGGAGAAGCAGGAACAGTGTAGGGTTTCTAAGCCAAAATAGTAGATATGATGCAGAAGGAGGGGATAGTTGCCTCTGTCAATTGGTATAGAGAAGTTAGAAGCCTGGACAAAGGCCATTAGTCTGAGCTGTTAGGTCACTGGTGACTTTGAAGAGAAGAGTTTCCATAGGTCGAAAGTCAAATTGTAAAAGGTTGAGAAGAGTCAAGGCAACAAGCATTTATTAAGCACCTACTGTATGCCAGGCACTGTGCTAAACTCTGGAGGATACAAAGATAGGCAAAAACAGTCCCTACCTTTGAGGAGTTCACAATCTAATGGGGGAAGCAATATTCATAGAACTATGTACAAATAAAATGTAAACAAGATAAATTAGAGATGACCTCAGAGGGAAGGCATTAAGCATTAAAGGGAATTGGGAAGGACTTTTTGCAGAAGGTGGGATTAGCTGGGGAAACCTGGGAAGACTGAATGTGGAGGCATGAGGGAGAGCCAGCGAAGATGCCCAGAGCTGGGAGATGGAGGGCCTTGTGTGAGGTACAGCCAAGAGACCAGTGTCACTGGGTCTCAGAGTACCCAAAGGGGAGAAGATATAAAAAGACAAGGATGGCAGAAAGCATCCAAGTTATGATGGGCTTTAAGAAGGAGATGTCACTTCCAAGAAAACTAGCGGTGAAAGAGAGAAGGGGAGTTTGATGTTAGCTAGATGGGGGAGGGAGATCAAGAGAAGGCTTTATTGGCATTCCGGGGGAGCTGGGAATGTTCATAGACAGATAAGCAGTCAGTGGAAAGGAAAGACTAAGAACTGGGATTAAATCCCCTTCATCACAGGGTTACTTCTGCCATTAACTGAGATGACATCTACAGAGCTTGTCCAGGTCCAATTAATATAGACTCAGCCTTAAAGTCAGAGGGACTTGGGTTCACATTCTACCCCTTGTCACATACTAGCTCTATGACTAGCTGTGTGACTATGGCAAATCTCCGGCATTATAAACCGCAAGTAAAGGGAATTCCTTGCGGTGACACAGTCGCAAAGAAACAAAAGCATAGAGAGCATGAGGTCGGAGGAATTAGAACAAGAAGAAACCTCAGAGGTTATTTCCTCCAATTCCATCATTTTACAGATGGAGAAACTGAGGCCCACAGAGGTTAGGTGACTCACCCAAGGTCTCACAAGCATTAGGTAGAGTTCTGTTTTCTATTAGATTTAAACTCGTGGACCACTTAGTAGAGCAGAATGTAGTAGGTGGTGGGAGGAGACGGGGAGTCAACTGGGCAGAGGGAGGGGTGTAATGTGAGATGCCGATGTCTAAGTTTCAGGGCCAATGATTAACTTTTAAAGGCATTCTTTGGCCACTGTCCTAAGAGGGAAATTGCTTGTAAGGAAAGGAATGTCAGTGGGTAGGGAAGAGAGGGTGAAGCAAAAATTCATCCATGCATTTCTTCCTTCCTTCAGCAAGTATTTGTTGGCTGCCCCCGGAGGAACAGAACTGGGGTTGGGGCAGGGGGAGGATTCAGAAGTATCCATTTCTTTCCTAGAGTTTTGTGCCTTCCCATTTACCTGAGTGAGGTCTGTAGGCTTGGAACGATTGAAGAAGAATATTAGGGAATAAGATCAGAGATTTTGGATGGAAGGGACCTCGGAGGAGAGACCAAGGACGCCAAGGTGGGCTCCATCCCCTCCTCCCAACCTCCCTATTGGAGGGCTTTTTGACCTGGGCTCTGGTCATTTTCTGGTTGTTAGCGCTTATGATTTTCATAACTATGTCAATAGGCCTGGTTTCCTTTGTAACCCAATGTACTTTATTTTAGAATTAAAAACATTATTCTGAGAAGGATCCACTCCACTGCCAAAGGGGTCTAAGACACCCAAAAAGAATGAGAAACCACATTCTAAATAATACTGTTTTTGCCTTTTTTTATGCCCAGAGTTGATGTGCTTAATGACCTCATCTAACCCCTTTAATTTATAGGTGAGGTCACTGAGCCTCAGAAAAGATGAGTGACTTGCCAAGGTCACACAGCTAATTCCCACCAGGTCCTCCAGAGCCAGCCCTTTTTCTACTGAACCACAATGTATGTAATAGAATTAAACGCCAAAAGCTATTTAATAACTGACCAGGGTTAATAGGAAACCAAGAAGGGCGGAGTCAATGTTAGAGGACTCAATAGGAAGACTCAAGGGGACAGTGTTGTTCTGTGGAGAGAATGTTCGATTTGAAGTCAGAGGATCTGAGTGCAAATCCCAACTCTGTGATTTACTGTCTAAGTGACAACTTGGGCAAATCGCTATATTCCTCAGGGCCTTGGTTTCCTCACCTATAAAAGTAGGGGGTTGGACTCGTTGACCCCTCAGGTCCCTGTTGGCTCTAACTCGATGAGATCTATTCAGATCGTACAGGAAGTGGGTGGGTGAAGGGCGAGCAGGGAGTGGGAGAGCCTGGCCAGGGAGGTTGGGGACTGCATCAAAACCTCTTTACTTCTCAGAGGCTAACATGGAATTGCTTTTAGTCTGCCCCCTTTCAAGAGGCCAGCTTTACGCCGAAGGATCAGCAGAATTTTTGTTTAAACACATTCAGGTTTTAATCCCTGCGTGTTTGAAGGTAAATGAATCTGTCAAACTTTAACTGTGATTGTCAGTGGAGTAAGAGGGAAGGGAAAGAGGGAGGGAGAGAGACAGAGACAGAGATAGAGACAGAGACAGAGAGAGACAGAAACAGAGAGACAGACAGAGACAAAGAGAGACAGAGACAGAGACAGAAAGAGAGAGACACAGAGGGAAAGAGAGAAAACATAGGCTCCAGGAGTCTAGGATAGAAAGGGGTCTGCTGCCTGCCTTCATCACAAGATGTGTCCCTATGACCTTAACCTCTGGACCAGCCAAAGGGAGCCCATAACCAACGCTTCTCTCCCCATCGGATGCTGGACAGAGTGCGCCTGTAGAGCGAAGGCCCTGTGCATCTCACTACCTTCTGTGGGCGAGAAAAGTCATGCCTTCTTACTTGAACATCAAGGAGGAAGGGGCCTGAGCTTCTGAATGGCTCACAAGAACATAGGTGTAGTGTCAGAAGGCCTCAGAGGCCATCTAATCCAACCCTCTTATTTTACAAATGGGGCAACTGAAGACCAGGGAGGTCGAGTGACTTAATTAGTTCCCATTGAGGAATATAGAATGTAAGCTCTTCAAACGCAGGAAATGTCTCTTCATTGTGCCCTTGGTACCTAACACAGTGGGTGGCGTAAGAGAATGTGCTTTAAAAATGCTTGAATGAATGAAATGAAAGTTGAATAACTATAAATCTGAATATGCCAGAGGTTGAGAAGCTAGCACGTATGGGGAAAATGTATGGGGCATCTATATGGCACAGTGGATGGAGTACTAGGGCTGGAGTTAGGAGGACTCCTCTTTCTGAGTTGAAATCCTGCCTCAGACACTAGCCGTGTGACCCTGGGCAAGTCACTTTACCCTCTTTGCCTCAGTTTCTTCATTTGTAAAATGAGCTGGAGAAGGAAATGGCAAACCACTCCAGCATCTTGGCCAAGAAAACCCTAAATGGGGTCACAAAGAGTCTGAAATGACTGACCAACATCATGGGGGAAATGGAGACCCTGAATGTAGATGTCTTTTTTCAAAAAGACTGGCAATGGAAGGAAAGAGAGAGATGGAGTAGTAGCTAGACTGGAGGACCAGGAGGAGGATTTATAAGGAATAGGAAACCTGATAATGCTTTTCTTTTCCAATTATGGAGAAGGCTGCTGTCCCCATGAAATACTGTTGTGCTGGGTAGAGCAACTTAGACAGAAAAATGTTTCCCACCCTTTGGAAGTGAAGTAGAAGACCTGAATTCAAATCTCAGCTCTACAGCTGGGTGAGGTGGACACACTTAATCCCTGTGGGTCTCAGTTTTGTCATCTATAAAATAAGGCATGGATCTAAGTAAGGTCCCTTCCAGCTCTGAATCAGTGAGCCCGGGAACCTTCCTGAAGTTGAAAGAACAAAAATCACACTTTCTGCAAGAAGCCTTTCCCGTCCCTCTGTTGATTACGTGGACTTTATCTAGCATGTATCCTGTTTGTACTTAGCTGTTTGCCTGTTCCCTCCCCTTGAGATGAGCTCTTTGAGAACAGGGACAGTTTCGTACCTTTCTTTGTATCCCCATATCTTAGCACATGGTAGGCTTAATAAAAGCTGGTTGACTTGACTCTGGAATCAGAAGATTGGCTTTAAATCCCTCCTCCTGATGGTTACTACTTGTCTCACTTAACCTCCCTCCGCCTCAGTTTCCTCACCTGTAAAATGAGGGGGTGGGATCAGATGGCCACTGACATTCTAGCCATAAAGTTATGTTCTACGATCTTATCTTTTTGACCTGGAAAAAGCCACTTCCCCTGATTCTCTGTTTCCTTATCTATAAAATAAGTTGGGTAAGAGGATGCCTTCCGTCTGTCCCACCTCCAAGTCCCAGTTAGCCCTTCTGCTCCAGCGTGATTCTAATCCTACACATCCGAGCTTAAACCGTTGCATTCCAAAAGAAGGTCGCGAGCCTCCTTGGCCTCCCAGGTTTCCTGGCAGCCCTGTAAAGAGGCTGCTTCTATCCTTATATGGTGAAAAGGGCCCTGTCTCTTTAAGTCCGGGAGACTGAGCTTCAGACATGCCCTCGGAAGTTTTGCAGCAGACTCAGCCTCCAATGTGCGATCCCGGCGGCTTTGCAGGTGAGCTCCCGGACCTTCCCCTCAGACTGTGCCCTCCTGGCGGGCCCCGGCCCAGCAGGCTTGGCATGGCGTTGGGGGAGGGTGCCGGGGCTTGAGTTAGCAGAAGTTTGAGTGGCAGGGCAGGAACCCGGCTGCCCGTGGATAGCAGGGGCAGGCATGCAGCTGCAGCTGGCTGCCTCTAACTTCCAGGATAGGACGGACCATCAAGGTTACAGAAGGCGCTGGGATTGGCACCGGGACTGGCATCGGGCATTGCCCCCCCCGAGGATGCATGTAAGGACTTGTGCCCAGAGGAGGCCGTTAATCTGAGCAAGGGCAGGGGGTAAGTGGAGCCGGCTAAATGACAGACCCCCTAGAAGAGAGCTTTGGGTTTAGAGCCAGTCAGGCCTGGGCACCGAGGGAAGGAAGCTTCTGCAACTGTTCAAAGCCCTGCGGGCCGTGCTCTGGCTGAGAGATGCAGGCACTCTACTAGAGGGTGGCACGACTGGGCGTGGATGTGAAGTGAGGGCAGGGCAGTACCAGAGCCTGGATTCTCTGGGCAGGGGCAACTGATTTACAGCAAAATGAGGGGCCTGGACTGAAAATCTCCAAGGCCCCTTCCGTCTCTAAACTCTGTGAGCCTCTGATTTCAGAATGGGTAGGTAAGAAAGCACTATGGTTGTGGGGAATGTGGGGGGGAGGCAGAATGCTGCAATTTACACCCTGGACCCTGGAGCTCTGAGCGCAGGGCAGCAATCAGACTCAGTGGAGGGGCTGGGAGAAGCCCTCCCAGCAGAGGGAGTGAATGCAGCCTGGTCAGCCACCAGATCAGTTTCACCAGACTTTTAAGGCTTCTCTGACCAGGAGTCATCAGAAAAGGAAATCTAGGGGATAAAGGTCTGTCCTTGGAGTCTGGAAGATGTGGGTTTAAGGTTTTCCTGTGGAACCCACCAGCTGTGTGACCTCAGCAAAATGGGGATGGTCACAGCACCTACCTCTCAGTGTTGTTGTGAGGGTCACATGAGGTCATCTATGTAGAGTGTTTTGCCAATCTTAAAAGGCCTGATAAACAGCTATTGTTAGCTACTTACTCTTTTTATAAATAGCTCTTATTAGCTATTGTTGTATTTGGTCTGGACCTGCCATTTCATTGGTGTGGGGATCTCCTGGTGTGGAAGGATCTTCCACCAGTGCAGGTCAGTCACTCATCTCTTACAGGGGAGCGGTTAAGTGACTTGTCTAGGGTCACACACCTAGCAGGCTCCAAAATAAAACCTGATCCTACGGCTTCCAGATCCCAAGGCCAGACCTTTATCCCCTAGGTCAAGAAGGAAGTGTGGTAACAGTAGAAAGAAGGTTGATTTTGTAGTGAGAAGATCTGAGTTCAATGTTGACTCCGAGACTCCAATCATATGATCTTGGAGCCAGAACTGGAAAGAATCCTAGAGGTGATTAGTCCGGCAAGCTCTTTGCACAGATGAGGAAACTGGGACCTGAGGATGTTAGGTGACTTTCCCAAGGTCACACAGCACAGCCATCATCATAGGTAGAATCTGAACTTAAGTCCTCTTCCTCCTGAGTCAATGCTCTTTCTACTTGGTGACCTCAAGAAAGCCATTTAGCTACTCTGGGCCTCAGTTTCCTCACCTGTAACATGAGGTCCCTTCTAGCCCTGTATCTGTGATCCAGCATTTTCTCAGTAGTAATGGATTACTTTTCTATGATGCTTTGCTGCCTGTTAAGGGATTTCCTCACAATTTCCCTTCTGTTATCCCATTTTTACAGACAAAGACACTAAGGTCCCGGGGGGTGAGGTGGGGGATATTAAAGGAATTCCCTTACCATATCATTGCCACTTCAAAACAAAACGTAAAGAGTCGTGATTTGTTCAAGGTCATTAGCGCAGCAAGATGAGAAGCTGAACAATCAGGTGTAGGATGACCAGAGACCCTAGAGATGGTCTCATCTACCGCCCCCTCTTCCTTTTATTAAAAAAGAAGAAACCGGAGCAGCTAGGTGGTGCAGTGGGTAGAGCACTGGCCCTGAAGTCGGGAGGACCTGAGTTCAAATGTGGCCTCAGACCAAACACTTCACACCTACTAGCTGTGTGACCCTGGGCAAGTCACTTAACCCCATTGCCTAGACAAAAAAAACAAAAAACAAAAAGAAGAAACTGAAATCTGTGGAAGGAAAGTCATTTACCCAAAGGCACACAGCTGATAAGAGGCAGATTCAGGATTTGGACTCAGGTCTTTGGTGGCCAAATCCAGGCTTCCCCTCATTCTAACACTTCCCAGATCCCAAAACTCTTGCTCAATTTCATGTGCACAGTATTGTGTGACCTTGTGTACTGGGTTCAGATCCTGCTCTGACATCTACTACCTGTATTATTCAGACGTGCTGACTGTTTGTGACTGCCATTTGGGGGTTTTTTGGTACATAAGGTTAAGTGACTCGCCCAGGGTCATACAGCGAGTAGTATCTGAGGCTGGATTTGAACTCAGGATTTGTTGCCCTACTCACTGAGCCTCTATGACCCTGAGCAAATCAGCTAAGCTCTCTGAGCCTCAGCTACCTTATCTGTAAAGGTGTTGGAACTGAGGGCCTTCCAGCTGCCTTCCATCTCCAAATCTATCATATCAAACTTTTTCAGCCTCAGTTTCCTCATCTGTAAAATGGAGCTAATAAGGACAGCCACCTTAGTGTTATCAGGAGGATTCAATGAGGTGATAGGTGTACAGTGCTTTGAAAACCTTAAAGTGTTGTATAAATGTTAGACATTTTCAGTAGGCTTACCCTGGGGGGGACCTTTAATGAGCCCCTGGGGTAGTGGAGGAGGTGGGGGTGGGGAGGACCGGTGCCCCTCAGCACCCACCAAGGCCTCGAGCACATGGAGGACATAGAAGAGGAGGGAGCCCGGGGTGGGATCCTCACCATCACTCTCAGCTGCATTTAGGCCCATGAGTCATCCAGAGGCCAGTGGTTCTCAGCAGTTGTTGTGAAGGGGAGTGAGCACCCAGGCTAGATTAAAATTCTTTACATACTCCAAGCCTTTTTAAAATATTTATTCATCTGAGCAGTCACTGAAGAATTCTTTTTATTATTAACGAACAGGTCCTCCATCTAGCCTCAGCGCTTTCTACAGGCAGGGTCCTCTTGCTTCGTTTTCAGGCATCTTCTGCAGCCAGGCCTTTCCCCCCTGACCTTTCTCCATGACTGATCACAAGACCATTATTCATGAACTCAACAGAAAGGTGTGCTGTTGACCCTAGGAGTCTCATGGGCTTCCAGTCGGGCCTCATAAATTCAAAATAACTGAAGTCCTAAGCAAAACATTCCCTTCTGTTTTCATAATATAGGAGACAGGGAAGCTTCCAAAGTTGCCTTCTCTTCTCCACCCAGCATTAGATACAATCCAGAAAGCTGGGAAGGAACCTCTGAGGTTGTCTGATTCAACCTCTTCTGCTTACGCAGTAGGACATGCTAGGCCCGGAGAGATTAAGCAGTTTGTCTGAGCTCACCCAGGAAAGGTGTCTGAATTAGAATTAGACTCCAAAACTCAAAGCCCAGCCACAGCCCTAGCACCTCTCTGAAAAAGATAAGCTGGGTGCTTTTGTACGCAAAATCAAAGCTTTTTTATTTAAAAAAGAAAAGTGATTGCACTTCCTTACATTTACACAGATTCAAGGAGAAATGCTCAGCTGAAGATTTATTACTTTAAACACCTAATTTACATTGGGACTCATCTCAAAAATGGGAATGATAATCTATCCCTTAGCTCATCATAGGATATTTTGATAATCCTGTTGGCTTGGCAAAAATAATAATTCGGTGGAAGAGTATAGTGATAGCATATTTATAGAACCATAGGGATCGAAGACACACAGAGGTTCAGCCTCAGGGGTCTAACCTACTATAGACCAAAAAAGACCCAGCTGGCTTTAAAAAACCATCTTGGGGGCAGCTAGATGGCACAGTGGATAGAGCGCCGGCCTTGGAGTCAGGACGACCTGAGTTTAAATCCAACCTCAGACACTTGGCACGTACTAGCTATGTGACCCTGGGCAAGTCACTTAACTCTGGCTTCCCTAGGTACCTTTTTCTAGTGACTGACAACTCTCTCTTTTATTAAGGAGTTCTTAAATCTAGCCTACGTCCCTCATGACTCCATTTATGCTACTCTCTTTTTGTTCTGTGCTCAGCAGAAATGGAGAGCAGTTGGTCAGTTTCCTTTGACATAAAAATATTCCGTAATACGCTTGTCACTTGATGGAGAACATTAAGATGCAGCAGAGAAGAAGGTGCAGAATCATCTATCAGCAATGGACATTTCCTAAGCACTTTAAGGATCTGCAAAGTACTTTACATACATTATTCTATTTGAGCCTGCTGACAACCAGGTGAAGGCATCATTATCCCCACTTTCAAGAAGGTTGCATGGTTAGTGAGTGAGGGCTTGACTCCCCATTCCAGCAGCCCATCTGCTCTATCCCATGGTATTTGGAGGTGAAGATTCTAGTTCCCAGCTCTGACTTTGGGAGAGTCATTCGCTCTCTCAGAGGCTCGGTATCCTCATCTGTAAAGTGGAAATAAAAATGCCTTCCCTCTATCCTAGCCCTAGCTTCCTTTCCCATCAATTCAATCCATTAACAAGCATTTATTAAGTGCCTACTATGTGCCAGCCACTGTACCAAATCCTGGAGATACAAGTACAAAGAATGAAATAATCCTGAATCTCAAGAAGTTTACATTCTAATGGGAGAAACAGCAAGTACATACATGTACATATACATACATACATACATATATATATGAAAATTCAGGCTAAATATAAATAAAGCAAATTAAAATAAATAAAAAGTATTTAAACGCAAGCTAGTTTGGGAGGGAGGGTACTAGCATTTGGGGGAGGGCGGATCAGGGAGAAGGAAGTGCTTGAGGTAGGTCATAAAGGAAGAGAAGAATTCTGGTGGTAGTAGGAATATCCTAACCCCTGCCTCCATGCAAGTTAGGCTAGTTTTTCCTTTAAAAGCATGCAGACCATCTTGCAGACTCGGTCAGCTCAGGGAACTAAGGCTTAGCTTGTTGGCATCACTTCCTCATCGCAAACACATCTCTGTGCTCTTGGGTGCCTGGCTGCTGGATCACACAGACAAGGAAGGTCTCCATGGACCTTCTCCTATGGCCAAGTAAATCTCCTTTTGTTAATTATTGAATGACCTAAAAAGTGTCTCCCTTTTTTCCCATTATCAAGCCTAAACTACCCAGATATTGGCCTGAGTCAGATGCAGCTCAGAAGAGCTCTATGAGGCGGGTGTAAAGAAGAACATTCTAAGAGTGGTGATCAGTCAATGGAGAGGCATAGAGATGGAGATGGGGTGTTGTGTCAGAGGGACAGAGAAGAGGGCAGTCTGGCTAGATCAGAGTGTGAGAAGAGCAAGAGTCAATGAGGCTGACAAGACAGGTTAAAAGGGGCTTCAGTAACTAAAAAGGAATCTGTATTTTATTCTAGAAACAATAGGAAGCCACTAGATTTGACTAAGGAGAGTCAGATCTCTTCTTAAGGAAATCGCCTTGACAGTACTGTGTAGGATGGACCTGAAGACTTGAGGCAGAGAGGAAGCTTTTGCAGTACTCAAGGTAAGAGGTGATGGTTTCCGGAACTAAGATGGCAGCTTTGTGAGTTGAGAAAAGGGGTTGGATGTCGGAGCGGTGGAGGCAGAAACATTGAAATCTGACAATTGGTTGGAGAAGCAGAGTGAAGGAGGAGGAGGAGCTGAGGAGGATACCAAGGCTGTCTCTGCATTGCCCATTGAGAGAACCTTAATTTTAATTGTTTAGAGGGTGTAGCGTAGCATGACTTGTAGCCATACGGCATTAATACTTTGTTTATCCTCTGCCTTCCTAAGTCACAGTGACTTGATTGGGCATTTGGCTTCTGGACCCTCTGTGGTCCTGCACTGAGAAATGCCTGAGCAACGGTTGAACCTTGACTCTCGCTCTAGGGGAGACGCTAATACCTCCCCTTACCGATTGCTTTCATATAATCCATATAGATCATGTCTACACCTAGTAATGTGGTTGTGGCCTCCCCTATTAGATTGTGAGCTCCTTGAAAACAGGGGTTTTTCTTTGTTTTTCTTTGAATCCCCAGCACATAACACAGTCCCTGGCATGTAGTAAGAGCTTAATAAGTGTTTGCTGCCTGACTGATCAGCCCTTCGATCAATCCCTCAAATATGGATGCAGAGCTTTGGGTGGCTCTGAATCATCAAAGGAGGTGGGAGATTACCAAGATGGGCAGGGTCCCTAAATCTGAAAGGGGCAGATGAACCCTTAGCATCCTGGTCCCAGAAGTGGCAATAAAATGAGATTAATACCCCCCATCAGTGAACCATCAGTCTTCTTGTTCACTCCATGTTTCAAAAGCTCCTTACAGGAGGGACTATCTCTCTCTCCATCCACCTAATGTGTCATCATGGTGCCTCCTCAGATGATGCCCCAATCCTCCATTTATGTGGGTAGTCCTGTCTGCCCAGACAGCTGCTGGGAATGCCCCAGTTTCCTACTCAAACTTCACTAATTAATCTGCCCAGACCTTTATGGTATTCTGGAAGGGAAGGCATTTAGTTAAAGCCTGATGTTGTTCAGGTGGGTCTCCACCAAAAAGAGGGCTCTAACTGTACCCCAAAATGAGTTAGTCATAGGAAATGAGAGTTCGTGGGAAGGGGGCACAAATCCATTCTACCAAACCCATCTCTTTTCAAAACATCACTCTTTCCTTTGCTGTCCCCCACCCGGGAACCAGCCACAAAGGAAATTCAACTTTTGTCCTGAAGTAGGCAGAACTGCCCATTTTGGCCACCTGAGAAAGGAAAAAGAATCATCTCCGTCTCAGGCCTCTGATTGGTTCAGCCTGCTGTATAAAAGTAGACCCTCTGAAGCTTTCATGAAGTCAATGGAAGCTTGCAACTGGCAAGACCATGACCTCATCAGCCATTTTTCTAATGATTCATTAGCTTGCTGCTGAAACTTCTGGAGCAACCTTCTAAGTTCCTTGGTAGTGAAAATCCATCGACCTTCTGGCTCCCCTGTGAAGGAAGCCATTCCCTAAAAGATGATATCCTAGAGGGCAGTAATGGGAATAGACCAGAGGCCTTCTTCCTATTGGGGCTAAATCTCAGTCCTCATCTTTATCACTGCTCCTGCCCTCTTCCCTTATACCCTTAACTTCCACAGGGTTTAACACATTCTTCAGTTTTCACTGGCAGCCTACCAGTCTTTGCTCCAATTAAAATTGCCCTGTATTCCTGTGATCTCTATTAGATCTATGAACAATCTCTGCCTATCAGGCATGGTCCTTGAAAATCAAAATCATATTCACCTCTGCCTCTAATTGCCTAATAAGCAGAATGATTTCTCTTTATTTTCTTTACAGTGGTGACCCAGCTTTTCTAAAGCTATCACTAAGAATTAAGGGTGCTTAAGTTTGTTATTTTTTTTAATTTTATGTGTCAAGTTCCCTAAGTATTCATTACAAAGTGAATGGGGGGGTTTCCTCTTTATCCCATTGAAAGGGTTCCCAGCAAAAGTGCTGGGGCTACAGGGCACCAAGTCCTGTCTGTGGTCATCTGCCCACCTGAAGCTCCCTTTCTTTTTGCATCATTCTTTCCCCTACTTCAACAATAAATTCAACCATAATGTCATCGCAAACAACCCTTGGCAAACAAATGCCAAATATTCTAGGGCAGACCTAGCCCAGGCAGGTCTGGTGATTCAAGCTCTGAATTAAAATGCAATGAGAAACATCTGGGCTGTAACATTCAATAAAAGCAACATTCCTTGTGATGATATCAAAAAGGATATAATCCCTAATTAAACTCAACTAGAATTCTGCTCTTCCATAGCAGTTAGCAACACTCAGTCAGGAAGGCATCCCCATAGAGCAATTGGAATTCCACTAAATCCTCTGGTGGACCAATCCTCCATCCACTAGACCTTCTATTCCTAATTAGGACTAGGAAATCATATCAACAACTAAAGCCTAATTCTTCACGCCATCAAATCCCTTCAAAGGAAAATTAGCCAATTCAATGGAAAAACTGGTGCTAATTCCTCTCCTCAAGGGCAGGAACTGTATCATTTTGTCTTTGTATCATATTACTTGTTTTGGGCACATAACAAACGGTTGTTGATTGATTGATTTTCATTATTGTATTCCCAGAATACAGAACAGAGCAGAATACTTTGTATTCGTTTGTTGATGGTTTTTTGTTTTTGTTTTTGTTTTTTCTCAATCTGTGATATAATTGCCAAAGGGAACTCCATTGAGGAAGGAAATGCTCTCGAGCAATCCAGAACAGTGGCTGATCTGTAACTCAACAGTCTTGGAAAGTGTCCTGGGACATTGAAAGGTTGAACATGTCCACACAGCTAATAAATATCTTCTGTATCAACTAATGTCAAAAGGAAGACCTACCCAGGTGTTCCTGATTTCACCTGTCATGGAGAGAATCATTGACTCTGCAGTCAGAGGAACTGGGTTCCAATCCTGCTTCTGATGCTTGCTTACCTGAATGGTCTTCACGAGTCATTGAGCCTTTTTCTGTCTATACAGTGAGGATACTAGACTAAGTGGTCTCTACAGACATTCCTGTTCTCAGTCTAGGATCTTATGACCTCAAAGCTAGCCCCCTTATTCTCTACAGCAAGGGTATCAAACAGAGAAGGGGACCACCGATCCACACCTAAGGATCCCTATCTGCCACACATTGACTTAGTTTTAGAATGTCGTATGATCTATGTCTTATTGTGGTTTTGTTTATTTTTATAAATATTTCCCAATTACATTTTAATCTGGTTTGGGTTGCACCCAGGAATGTTGTGTAGGCTACTTATTTGACACCTATGCACTACATCGTACTAATGAATGAAAGCAAATTTTGTGGTAATGTCACTTTCTAGCCAATTGATCATCAAGGAAGGGATCTATGCTGACTGATAGTGCCTATGATGACTTTCTCTCTGAGGGATAGTGCTAAGTGCCTCCTCCAAGGTAAGGTTTGGAACAAACACGATCCCAAATTCTTTATTTTGTTTTTCTTTTTAAACTTTTGGAACCAAGGGAAATGAACTTGAGGATGAGCATTGGCAGGAAGTCAGGTGAGAGTAGAGTATTTAGATTGGACGAAGAGGAGAAAGGAGAATGATACCTTTTTTTAAAGTCCATATAATCTCTAACAGTGCAGCATAGAATCCACAGTCAGGGAAGATTTCTATTTGCAGAATGAAGTTGAGTTTCTTGACATCTCTTTGGCTTCTTTTCCCCTCTGGAATGTCTATCACCTTGGGCTTGTCAAATAAATTTCATTCATAGAATCATAAAATGAGAAAGGGATTTAAAGAGAGCATTGGGTAACATCTTCTGCCTTTAGGCAGAATTGTACTTATAGCAACCCACGCCAGTGGTTGTCTATCTTATTTTTAAAGATCTTCAGGGAATGAGCTTCTGATACCTCTTTCTAAAATCCATTTCTGTGCTTAGCAGCATTCATGGGATCATGGCATCTCAGAGCCAGAAGGGACCTTGGAGATTAACCAATCCAGCTCATATCTGGCCAAGAAACCAACTTCTACTCCTTTGCTTCCTGAGGCAATCAATTCTTCTCTTGGATAGTGCTAATCTTGGAAAGGTTTTTTTTTTCTTTTTGCAAATTTTTTCAATTAAAAAACTCTTCCTTTTGCTTCCTCCATCGAACAAATAAAAAAAACCCTCATAACAAATATGCACAAACAAAACAAATTCCTACATTGGTCATGTACCAAAAATATGTGTCTCAATCCACGTCCTGAGTCCATCACCTCTCTGTCAGGACATGAGTAGGTTGTTTCAATTTGAAGCCTAAATGTAACTCTTCAATTTCCACCTCCTCTGGAGCAAAGCAAACCAAGTCTTATCCTTCTTTTACATGACTACTCTTCGAATACTTTCATCAATCAATAAGCATTCATTAAGCCCCTACGGTGTACCAGACATTGTGCTAGATGCCAGAGATTTGCATCTCCGTACAGAGAATGAAGCAAGACCTCCTCTGCAAGAGTTTAGTGCTAATGTCCCTTCTAGGCCTCTCTTCTCCTCGCTCAGCATCCCCAGTTCCCATCCTAGTGGAGCCTCATCTGGCATTTTCTCCTTTTCTTTTACCATCTTGATTTTCCTCTTCTGGACACATTCCAGGCTAGCTATGTGCCCCTAGAATGTGGGGCCCAGAGCTGAACACAAGTTAGAACATCTGAAGGAAAGGCAGGGAACGACAAAACTGACCCCTGGTCTTGGACTGTAGGCCTTTTTTAATGCACCCCAATATAGAATTGTCTCCTTCAGCTGCCATCTCGCATTGTTGACTCACGTTGAGCTTCCAGTCCACCAAAACCATCAGTGGTTTTTTTAGACAAACTGTGATCTTACCACCCATCCCTCATCTTGTTACCTGCAAAGTTGACTTTGTTTTTAACCCAAAGGTTCCACTTGACACTTAGCCCCATTAAATTAATCTAATTTTATTGGTTCTAATATATTTCATTGATCCTTTGGGGTCCAGACTCTGTCATCCAATATCTATTCATCTAATAATATCTATTAT